ACTGTAATACAGTAATAAAAAAATATGAAACCAATATATACAGAAAAGGTGTAACAACAATTTATGAAACAACACAGAACAACAACAAGATCAAAGGAAATGGATGATAATTTACAAAAACTAATTATCTATGTATTAGTGAAGCCATTGGGTAAAGTTAAGCTATGATGGATACAAGACTACCGACAAAATGGAATAGCAACAACAATACAATCTACATGATATACAATAGTATTTTTACATAACTTTAAAAGAACTATCATTACAGTGATATAATAATAACCAATAAGACTAAAGTAAATCATCTAGATGTAATAAATATACTAAACAGCAAAAAAAACGTCAGTCTGATTTCAAAATCAGAGAGGCACTTTAATCAAATCATTCTTGAAAATGATTTACTAAATGGATCAAAGCAATTCTTTGTGAACGGTATGTTGACACATTAGTGATTAATTCATCACAATTCCAAGACATTATGAGAAGGTTTAGAGTCTGTACACAGTCTATTCATCAGTATCTGGTATGTCCACCGTCAGTGTCAATAACAGCAGCACAGCGTCTGTACACGGAGTGGACCAGACGATTGATGAACGCCACTGACACCTTTAACCACTCTCAGAAAAGCATGGTGCAATTCATCAGCTGTGTTTGGTCTTGGTACGATGTTATTAAGTCTCCTCTGAATTTCATCCCAAAGATGTTCAATCAGGTTTAAGTCCGGACTAAGGACTGGCCAGTGCATAACGTTGACACAGTTCTGCTGTAGAAAGTCCCGAGTAACTCTGGTGGTGTGGGCACAGGCATTGTCAGGAAGAAAATGTTGTTTCGGTGACGTGCGAAATGTGGTATGATGTGGGGTCTGAGAGCTTGATCGATGTAGCGCACTGCTGTGATGACGCCTGCTCTCCCCATGAGTCTCTATCCATGATACATTGGTCAGAATAATGCTAGTCACTTCGACGCCATATTCTGGTCATGCCATCTGCAGTTGATACGCAATACCACCTCATCTGTGTTGTTGGGCAAACTGTAGAAGTTCACGTCGATGGCGATGGGTGAGGATCGGTCTACGGCAATGGATGTTCTCTCTGGTGAGACGTTGGCGCACTGTATCGGTACTGGTGGGTCTTCTGTGCGTTCCCCCTGTCTGACGTGCTGTCTCAAATGCCTGTGTGAAGGGATTCTGCATATGCTGTCGCACAACATGGCGGTCTTGTTGCATTGTGGTAACCCTTGGTCTACCAGTTCAGGGGCGATCATCCGTGGTGTTGGTGGCCCGAAAGCGTTGCTGAATTATGTAGATGATCTAAACATTGGCAACAGCTTGGGCAGTGTGGCCAGCATCGACTAGTCCAAGCGCCTGGTTCCTCTGAGCTTTTAGTTCGTCGTGGTATGTTGCTGACATTGTAGTGTGAATGATTCAACCAGGTATGGGGGTGCACTTTATAGGGCTGGTCACGGTGAACAGCACATGCAGCATGAGTTACATGAAAATCATGGAGAACACATTACCATCTCAGAAGTCAGGTTGCGTTTTTGAGAACATTTCCCAGGTTCAATTCTGTGTTTGGGAAGGAGCCTTATTGCTCAGGTAAAGTTTGAGATGTGTTCACAAATATACAATAAAAACATTTGTCAAGTTTTATGCAATGCATCTATTCAGAGTAACATACCAACCTGACGCTTCTTTTGCTGCTTAGTATAAAGTTGATATACATGTAAAATGATAACGGTGAAAATAATACTTTGAAAGAAAAAATGATAAAAATAGCAATCATGAAAAAGTTTTAAAAAGGTAATCTTATCCAGAGTAAAGAATGAATAGAGGTAATGAAAACACATGATCAAATGTGCATGCTTTAACTATTCAGCTATAAATACTGGTACTAAAAAGCTACTCACTCAGAGTTTTGAAAGTTTTGACCGACATATGAATACATGTACATGTATGTATTTGTTTGTTCCATGAGCATCATTTTTGCAATATACATGTATATGGAATTTATTTTTTTAGTATATTTTATTGGTGACCATAGACATTTAGCCAATGGCTGAAATGGCAATACTTCCTGGTCATGGAAAAATCATAAATATCAAGGATGTACCCGCTTTATTTACAGTACAATGTATGCCACAAAGTTTGATTCAGTTTGCATTTTGCTTGTACATGTATTTCCTGTGCTACCAGACTGACTACATGTCAAGATGATCAACCTTTGTGTAAATTCATGGAATTAAAGAAGTGAATAGTCTGAGTTTTATTTTATTATTCACAATCACCACTGATTTTCAGTGTTTAGTTCAATGTATGGTACATGTACTGAGATACATGTAGCAGTCATGAACATGTGTAGCAGACCTGATTTCATCAACAGCTGTTGTAATCACCATACCATAGCTGTGAAAACTGATCTACCAGAATGCTCAACTGGTTTAATCAAACTTAAAACAATTTAAAAATTGTCTTTTGTTTTGATTACAGCTTGCTTACAAAGGTGATGTTAATAAAATATGATCCCAAAGCTCAGATCTCCAACCACTTGTACATTGTATATGTCTCACAAAATTGTGTACAAAATTACATCTTCCTAAGATGCCATAATCTTAATTTTAAAGGATGTTGCATACAGTACATAATATATGTAGCTAGAAATATAATATATTTCAGTAGGTAAAACCAAGAAACGGTTGTTGTAACATTATCATTCAGTGGTGTATTCCCACGAAGGCGCAGTTACAGAGCGTGACCAAAATTAATCCTTCCCACGAAGGGGCAGATATCGACTTGTCGGCTTTCGTTTGAAGAGAGGCATGGCATCTGAAAGGATGGCATGCAAGAATCAAGAAGCTAGTTGGAAAAGCCCATCCGAATGTTTTTGAAATGATCACATTTTTACAACAAGAACAAAATATTACAAACAACCAAGGAAGAGATATAAATATGCTCAATTCCAAAGCCAGCCCCAGGAATTAAAAGGAAGACACGAGGAAGAGGAATTGACTTTCGTCGAGTATTTAGACAGGTCTTATTTGGCGAAATTAAATTAATTTTTGTTATAGTGTAGTTATGTTTTCATTTCTTATGCCAAAAATGATGCTAAAATGTTGGTTAATTAGTTACATTGGGGATTAGGAAAGTGTAAATTCTTATCATAACAATCTATAACACCATTGTTACGATTTTAATCCATTTTAATCCCTAGGAACTGGATTCCCACGAAGTCGTCGAAAATGCTCGCTTTTAATCCGTTACGGTCAATAACTGCGCCTTCGTGGGAATAAACCCATTCAGTCTACACTGTTAATTATAGCATGGCTTGCCTCTGGGTTTTCAATTTATTGCTTCTTTCTAATCAATAATCCATCAATTGCAATCCAAGATTCACAAAGACAGAAATACAGTAGAGCTAAGTTAAAAACACAGACATAAACTTTTGATGATAAAACATTAATATTATGACAGACAATATTGATTAATATTGAGTACAAGACGACAGCAAAAATTGAAGAGAAAAGTACATTATAATGTGTTGAATTATCATAGAAGGGGACGAAATATTTACAAGCGTAATATATTTATTTATAAATAAAATGATTTGTGTATATGTCTGTTTAATCTCGGTGTATGTGTATATTATAACAAAGGTACATATAGATGTATATCATTATGAATATAACCGTCATATACATGTATGCAAGATTTAGTGATTGGGTTTCTCAGTCTTCAAATGGTGTACCCTTCAAATACAGTACATAGTGTGACATACATGTAGATCTGTGAGTAATAACCTCTATCAGACTAATACTGTGTTTATTTAATTGGCTTCCAGCTGTAAATGTCATTCACAGAAAGTGAAATAAAGTTACTGATGCGTCACCCCAATAATACTATTATAATAGACAATCATGTCATGAACAATTTACAAATAAAGTAGCCATAAACTTAGCAATTTAAGGATCAGTTGAAGTAGATATCAATAATTTTCTCCACAAGCTTTTCTCTTGACACTACTTCTGCTCATGAACTACAGTATAGGCTTGGTGTATGTCTGATTTAATGCACATATATATATACATGTATATTTATTCGAAAACTTAATTAAAGAGGTATTATGCGAGATTGCCTACAGGACGTTATTCTGGATTCACATATTATAAATCATTATTTAGACAATTATTCACATGACAAGCTCATAATCAACTCTCCCGATGGCTATCGGATCGATTAGATATTGAGTGGATTAGACAATGCCCTCTATATCTGCATTAAACAATAATATGACCAACCATGCCAAAACTTTCCGTACATGTACATGTCCCACGGAGACTGCCGATAAATGCTCTGATAATAAAGTTATACACAGCCTTCTATTATAATATTTTGATTCCCCGGTTGTACATGACAAGGAGTAGGGTCGCATGTCCAACCACTTAGGTTTTCTCCGGGTCCTCCGATTTCTTCCCACTGCTAAAGACCCCTACGTGCAAGCGAATTATTGAAATAAAATTAAAAACCATGCTAGTCCCGAAATGACCTACTTTGTGTCGAGTGGACGTTAAACCCCATCTCTCTCTCTCTAGTATAATATAAAAAGTCTTATTTGGAAATGGCCAGTCTTTCAATAAAATCTTTCATAATGCTTCCTTAAATACATACATGTACGTTTACAAAGTGTGTACAACTTTTTATAGTCAATATAAATTATGTACATGTATATGTATTAATACACATGTATAGATAATAATAATGATTTATTATAATGCACAATATTCATACATAGACGTACAAAATAGTAATAGTAAGTAAATACATGCAGTGAGCATATCAAGCAAGTAAATTTATACTTATTAGCTTTCATAAATGAAATCTGTGAAGAGTGTCCACTGTACATGTACCTCAACATCAGTAAAACAGCTGTTAAGCAGCGTTCCAGCACCATAACAGTGCCTACATGTGTGTATTGACTGTGCTCTCCAATTCATAGACTTTCACTTACCTTGAACAATTAGTTTCTGGATCATTGTTCCTCCATAGCAAATGATGTTGAAATCCTTCTGTTGAAACAGTAAATCCTGTTGGTATTGTTTCCCAATCATCAAATCGAACACCACCTCCAAGAGAGTAAGTTCCTGGTGGACAGGTGTGACATTCTTGATCGTTAGCAATGTCTAAAAATTCTCCTTCCTTACATGTAAATGCTGTAAATAACAAATCAATTTTCTCTGTAATCTAAACCTAGAGATTGTAGCCAATCAATAAAATAAATAATTTTCAGTTAAACATAATTAAAAACTGTAATATTATTTGACTGAAAGGGTTATGCTTTATTTTTCAATGGTACAGTTGCAATATTGTTTTCACAAGGAATGCTTCAAATGCATGAAACTGAACAAACTTACAGCAATCTTTTCCTCTAATAGGAGCATTTGGTGCTCCTCCTGTGCATTTGTCAGGATCTGGTACAGATACCCTCCATCTTCCCCCATTACTGTCACATTCTGTGTATTCATAATGAAAATCTTTCTGTAATATTGAAAATTTAAAATAAAATTGGATAAGCTAATCAACTGCGCAAAAGAAAGAAAATTTCGGAAATGTACCCAACCAGTTTTGTTGATTATTAAATACGTATCCGGCACGAAGTTCAAATTGTAAGGCACTAGTGCAGTAGTGCATGGACATTTGGTCAGAAACAACTAAAATAATTATTTCAAATAATTTTCAATTTTTGTGATAAAAATTCAAAGAATAAAAGTGGTCATACATGTAACATATGATGTACATTTATAAGCTTACCTTTCTGTGGTATTCTGTCCTGTAACACCCACAGTACACACATTGCTACATTTATCATCTGATTGATTTAGCCCTGGGAAATTATTGACTTAAAACTACATTATCAATATATTTCCCAAAAGAGCTCTATTTATGACTATATAAGTTTTGATTGTTGATGAAATTTATTATTCATTTAATATGGCAAGCAAAAGTTTGACTATGCTACAGCAAATATACAAAGCTTTTCTTTATATCCTGATGTATACTGGCACCATACATGAATAAAATACTGTAGAGTGAATACATGTACTAGTGTATACATGTAATATCAATAACTGGCAAAAATCTCCAAAGGCAAAGTATATGTAGTGCCTTTTGAGAATCACATTTTTATCATCTTATTCTTAACAATGTAAAAGCTTTCTCTATGTGAAATCTGGGATGGCTCTTTTAATTAAATGTTTGTTACAGTGTAATAAGATTTGTATCTTATACTTTACCACCCATCCTGGGATAAACTATACCCAGGGTGAACCGGTTGGTTGGATGATGCGACCTGTTTTCAGGGGTTTTTTAAACCCAGCTCGATCTATTATTAATAAAACAAAAGATAATCACAAGTCAGGCTATTGTAAGGGGTGCCAGTCAAGTCATCCACAAGCAAAGTTGTCAACAGTGAAGTCGTCCACACCCGTTGATGGAGTCCTCCACAAGGCATTGGTGATGTCGTCCACAACTACATGTATTGGTGATATCATCCACAAGTTGACAACAACTAAGAATAAGACTCGTACACAATTTAATCGTATGGAAGAAATAGCTATTACTCTTTGACTGTTTTGTTATTTTATTTCAGATCGAATCACTGATGTTATTTGATTTCAGATCGAATCACCGATGTTAGATTGGCATTATGATTTTAGTTTGTTTTGTTATTTTGTTGTTCGCCGATGTTTTTGCAATGAAGTATACTAATATTGTTTTAGCATTTTTGATTGTTTGTTAAGTATTAACAATGTTTTTGTAATAAAGTATAATCAAATTTTGTAATAAAGTATACTTGTATTTTTTGTAAATTGGCGTTATGATTTTAGCATTTTTGATTGTTTGATTAGTATTAACGATGTTTTTGTAAAAATGATTTTAGCCACAATTTGTCTGAAGTTTAAACACTCCGCCCCTTGAAGATTAGCTAAATTTAACTCACTGTCATATTAATTGCAAAACGGCTTCATCTGAAGTTTGGGTATATATTGACCGTAAAACTTAACATTCATTAGTTATTACTGATATATATCATAAGCTCTGTTTGAAATCGTGGAGAGTGTGCAGTTTTATTTTCAAGACTGTCCGATGGAACTGCCCAACGCTCCATCCTTCACAAGTGATCTGGAGACTGATGTCGAGGTGAGAGGGCAAGAGGCAGCTGTTAAAATGGATGATGTGGTCGATGGTGGTGTGGAGATGGATGAGGGTGAAAAAGGTGGCATGAATGATGTGGAAATGGATGATGTATACCGCACCATTCGGAAAATCTTTGCACTTCCCTTTCTTCCCGCAGAGCACATTCATAAAACTTCAGGAAAAATATGCGACCACAGAATTATTGAGGCAATTTTTTTCATACATACAGAAGACTTGGATAGATTCCTGGGAGGTCGAAAACTGGTGCGTATTTTTGCAACCAATCAGGACCAACAACGACGTCGAAGGATGGCATCACAGGATAAATCACAAGGCCGCGAGGAATAATCTTCAATTCTATTTACTTATTAAAGTTCTACATGACGACTCAAAAACTGAAGAGCTATAAAGATTGGTTTCGGAAAAAACAAATTAAAGCGGCGACAGAGGAAGAAAATCGAGACGACAGCAGGGGAAATTCTTAAAATATGGGAATTATATGAACAGGGGAAAAAGTGTATCAGGGCTTTTAAAGGACGTCGATGGTAGCGGTGTAATAATATACAAAATCAAAAAAGAATATACTAATTAAGAAAAGAATACCTTATGTGTCCAGAAAGTAAACTACATGTATGTCATGTGGACGACTTTATCAACGTATTACTATATCCCGAAATTAAACGACTTTATCAACGTATTACTATATCCCGAAATTAAACTAAGTCGTGTGGACGACTCCACCATTGGGTGTGGACGACTCCACCAATGGGATTTTTCGTTTTTTCGTGTGGACGACTTGACTGGCATTCATTGTACATACCTACTACTAGTAGTATTAATCTATTCCGTGCATCAAAATATTCAAAACAATAATCTTTTTTCCAAAACAGCTAGGTTATTCAGTATCTCTACAATAATCATTTAGTGCCATCTAGATTAGTAGGCCTATAAGTATAACACATACCGTTTATTGAAAACAGCTACTGATTTATTTACTAAGGCGGTGTTTCGAAGAGCAAGCTTATTGAATTCTCTCAACGTTATCAAGCTAGTAATACAACATAACAAAATCATGTGAAGCAAAACGTCGCCTAAATTAACCAGTTGCTGTTTTCCATAAGTATGTGTTATAGTTTATCTCTGCAAGTGCAATGCTGCACCTGCTTTTTAATGTAAAGTGTTATACTTACAGGTTGACATGCTGGCAGATCGTCGCATGAAACGTGTGGCACTGGCACCAAGATACACAAAGTAACAACGCAAAATGTAAAAAAATGAGTGTGCATTTTAGATCAAATTTGTTTAGCACTATTTCTATTTCAATCTTTCTTATATTTTCTGTGTGTTTACATCAATTACAATTCACAATCATATTCATCGCTTGGTCCTCACAAATTAAACAATGCGCTCTCTGGACCGTCTGTTGCCAAACTGTTCTAAAAATAGAAATGAATAGACGATTTGTGCTATGGCATGCGCAATCGGTGCATAAATATTTCCGCTGTACTTCCGCCAATCTACGGCATTTCTATTATTGGTTTTATTTAATTATAAGAAATCATGTTGAAAATGAAATTTTTTTGTATCTAAATATAAAAAGTGAAAAAAACGGTTTATGACTCAAGAAAATATCTGTAAAAATAGACAATAGTTTTGTTCTCGGATGCACGTGACTTAATGTTGCCATGGGATTTGTGTCAATAATCTGAAGGCAAGTGGTTATAAAAGAAGACCACAGCGGACAACTAACTAAATAATAAACGCCATTCTACTTTTTCGGGTCAGAAAAGCGCTGTAAAAGAAATCTACCATGGCCAAGATGATGTCAACAAGAGACCCCTATCCATTTCCAAGAATGCAAAATGATGATAACTTTTATGGAACAGGAGTTTCACAGGTAAGCCTAATAATACATGTATAACTAGACTAGAGAATAAATTTCGATTAGGCAGAGTGAGACTGAGACGAGTGTCTTACTAACTTGGTCTCTTCTGAATATTCTTTCTTATTGACTTAGTTTGCCTTATAAAATTTTTACTGACAGGACTAGGTCTTTTGGTTTGTTTTATTTTACTATTGTTTGTACAAGACCTAAAGCCAATCTAATTTTTAGCCTTTTTTTTAATCAATTGTTGTTGGAAGTGGAAGGATTAGGCTACACACAATGACATGGCACCATAATCATGTCACCACTGATTTGATTTGAAATGTGGTGTTTATGCTGGACTACTTTTTTACTGGCAACAATGTAGTGAAGATAGGCACAATGGGTAAAAATCAAGTCAGTAATAATAGCATCCCAGCCAGGTTTACAAGCTGGTAAGGAGTTGACGGCAACATGGGCACAAAGGTTGTTTCAAAGGGTAAAAATCAAGTCAGTAATAATAGCATCCCAGCCAGCCCAGGTAAGCTGGTAAGGAGTTTAGACGGCAATGAACAAAAAGCATTGATGAACTTAGCTGGACCCCTTGACTTGTAGCAACAAATACAGGAAACTTTCTAGTCTAGGTTTAAATGTGTCAAAATATTGTTTAAAATATAGAAATTAACTTTGATTATTTATGAGTTCTAACTTTTGTTTGAGGTTTGTTGATATATTTAATAAATATTATTATGTGCAACAGACTAAGACTGTGAACCAACTGTTATTTTCCAGGTAGAACCATACAGTGAACCAACTCATGTTGCACAAACTGCTGACCCATGGAACAGATTAAATTCAAAACACACTTTATGTAGTTCTCGGAGAGAAATTTATCACAATGATCCTGCAGCACCAAGAGACAGTCTTGATTTTATTTTAAAAACACAATATGATCAACATGCTGAGTTATTTAGAAATAGAAATGAAACTTTATTACAGCCTGAAACCCTCAACTTAGATCATGGGTAAGTAACATTTCTTTTTCTCAAACGGACTCAGACTAGCAATTATTTGCCCATTGACTTCAATGTTAAATGACTGTAACATCACAGGCTGTAGCTTTTTGCTCAACATTTCGTTGGTTCCAATCTTTATAGGCACAATGGGGACAACATTTGGCAATCTCCTCATCATAATTTTGTAGGGGGTTGACCATTTAGATTTTTTGCTACACGGATTTGAAGTTGACAGGGGTGAAAATCTCACTTCGACACAATGATTGCTCTGCAGAAAGACACTTTACACCCCCTATCCCTCCGCTGTAATATCATCAGTATTACCCAAAACTGCTATGAAATTGCAAATTTGATCCCTTTTCTCCAATTCTAGACCAAAAAGTCAACCCAAAAATGCAGGAAGAGGGGAGAAAAAAATTAAGGGAAAAATTGTCTATTTATTACTCGCACTACATTCGTCCATCATGAAATAAGGGGAAATAATTACTAGTCTTAGTCCTATATACCTCACATGTTTCTGCAGTTTAAACAAATCTGTTGTTATCTAATAAACAAACATATATGCAATTCCCTGGCCAAAGAATATGAAAATCTATGCATTTTCAGATGAGCTGTGCGGCATTCTGCAAACACTATAATTCCACAGAACATTTTTATTTTTGAACATAAATGCATTCTTCAAAAAGATGAGATGAATTCAATATAAATCAAACATGAAAATACTTTAAAACAGTAATCATGATGCAATATTAGACTTTTAACACTTTCATCGAAAACCACACAGTTTTTCTCTGTTAACATAGTTTCAAGTGCCAAATTGTGGTCAAATCTAAAATGCTGAAACATGCAGTGCCTATGAATTTCAAAATATCTCCTATATAGCTGTATTTCCACAGGATAAGTAAGTTGAAATAATCTGATTATGTAACACTACAACAGTTTTTTCATCCCCACCCCCCGGTATGGAATCTGATACATTGCTGACCAATCATAGGTCGCCCCGTTCACTCGGGCCTGTCAAATGATTTACAATGGCGATGGTGCCTACAACTTTCCTGACCAAGAGATATGCACAACCGTCGATCAACACAAGCCATTAATGTTATCTTCCAATATGAGAGGCCATGATAAACACACAAGCGTCCTTTTCAAGCTCGGAAATTAAGTCATCACCAAAAAGCAAAGTTTACAGAGGTCCTCGGGGCTGGAACCCAAACTGATTACGATTTGCCCTCCACTTCCACCACAGGTGTCATAGAGATCAGGGATGAAATTGATATGCATCATCGTTCTCCTAAAGCCAGTCCAGGAAGAGATCAGGTTTTGAGATGTAGACCTGAAATGTTAAATTTGGATGAGAATGAGAATTCTGGGGCGAATACTATCCAGGGAAATGGTCATTGACATCCAGAAAATGGTCAAAATGTGGAATTCTGTCATTCAGTTAAATGTCAAGGGGAGAAGACAGGCCTGTGCAGTACCAAATTTCCAGCCCATTACTATTAGTGAGCAGAAGTGGGGATGAGGTTGGATGTACTTCTTAAAGTGTATGAAATGCACATTTATCTCACCTGTTTTGCTTCTTTTTTTTTTAATACTTGTGTTGAGGTCAATCATTCCACTCTATGAAACATTGCCCTGGCACCTGAAATGATAGGAGGCTGGGGATAAATATGCAATAAAAAACAGTGAGAAAATAAGAAAAAAATATGGTTTCAACTGGAAATAGAAATAAACCTCTTTATTTCTCGCGAACAGCCCGTCACTGGCCCTCCAAAAAAAACCAGTTAACAATCAGTAAAAAAGTAAACCTTGAGTGTCCCATAAGTCTAAGCCAATCTCAAAGGTAGATGCCATGTTTTGAGGTTCGGTCTAAATATTAAGGCCAACTGCATGTTTGGTCAAAAGTCACACAGGTGTGAATTTTGGAGTGTACATGTTAACATTTCATTGTATGTCAAAAACTTGTTAGGTCTAAATGTTAAGGCCAACTGCATGTTTGGTCAAAAGTCACACAGGTGTGAATTTTGGAGTGTACATGTTAACATTTCATTGTATGATGTCAAAAACATGTTAGGTCTAAATATTAAGGCCAACTGCAGACTTGGTTCAAGGTCACAACATGTAAATAGGGTTAGGGCACATGATTTTTTGACACAATTGTGGGTTTGGGCTAGGGTCAGAACTAGGTCTTGGCTTAGGCCTAGGCTACATGCTTTTTGACAAGATTGTGGGTTAGGGTTTAGGGTAAGGACTGGGTCTTGGGTTAGGGTTAGGGTCAGTCTTGTTTACATCTCGTGACTTTAGACCAAATCTGGAGTTGAGTTGGCCTTAATATTTAGACCTAACCAACGGATACCCCCAATCATGGCTATTTTGATACCAAATAGTCAAAAAACTTACTGCTGGGCAATAAAAAAGCAGTATTCTTACCATTTCTGACACTTTCCATTCAAAACTTCAGGAAATAAGCCGTTGAAAAAATATCAACATCCCGAGTCGGCCATGCTTCTTTATATCATCAGGTCTCAGACTAGCAATTATTTGCCCATTGACTTCAATGTTAAATGACTGTAACATCACAGGCTGTAGCTTTTTGCTCAACATTCCGTTGGTTCCAATCTTTATAGGCACAATGGGGACAACATTTGGCAATCTCCTCATCATAATTTTGTAGGGGGTTGACCGTTTAGATTTTTTGCTACACGGATTTGAAGTTGACAGGGGTGAAAATCTCACTTCCGACACAATGATTGCTCTGCAGAAAGACACTTTACACCCCCTATCTCTCCGCTGTAATATCATTAGTATTACCCAAAACTGCTATGAAATTGCAAATTTGATCCCTTTTCTCCAATTCTAGACCAAAAAGTCAACCCAAAAATGCAGGAAGAGGGGAGAAAAAAATTAAGGGAAAAATTGTCTATTTATAACTCGCACTACATTCGTCCATCATGAAATAAGGGGAAATAATTACTAGTCTTAGTCCAAACAATCTCACTGTAGTTATCCCCCTTTAACCCCTGTCCACTTTATACTAGAGTGGTATGTCAGTTTAGTATTGTACTAAAAATATAGTTTATTCAGTAATTAGCTATTTCTTTTTAAATGAAGTACCTTGGCCTAGAAAAACTATTTTGCAAAAAATAAATAATTCATTTGTACCATCCACAAGAGATTCTAAAGCTTCCACAACTGCTTTGTATTTCAAAATTTTGATTGAAATAAGGACTGATAGGGCCAACACCAGATTTTTGAAGCAATGCATGCAGTCTAAGCAAGATTTAATATTTTTTCAGTCGTACATTGAAAAATCGTGAAGTAATTATACCAAAAGAACCATTAAGAATGAACCACCCACTTAGTGTCACAGAACAGAACAAAAAAGATAGTATACATAGTGTTAAAAACGCAATAGGTATGTATTACAATTTGATTGACACGCATTTCAAATGTTATTCAACAGTATTTAACTTTTTTGTGGAAAAGGAATCCATGATTGCTTCATATAGCGGAAATGGTTCAGTAGGACTTGCTGTATGTATATACAGCTATGTTATCAGTGATTGTGTTAAGTAAATTTGTGCACAATAGAAAAATTAGATTTACATGATTTACTTATTATATAATGTATTGCATTAACTTTCAGAGAGTCATCATTCACAACAAACTAATAAAGGATATTCCCGAAAGCCAGATGGGGGCTTTTTTAATATTTAATTATTAGATGTTTTAACTAGCTTGACAGTTTAACTACTTTAAACACATCAATTATGCATTATGTAAATATTTACATATTCTTTGAGCACAGATTAACAATCTAACATTGACTGCTTATGAAAATAATTAGATGACAATTGAGTTTAGTAAGTAGATGATATGACTATGTGCCAAACTCTTTTTGTTAATATCACTAAAAGGCTTTGGGGCTATTCTTTTTTGAATAACAACCTAGTGACACCTATGTAACATACATATGAATGCATTATGACGAGTGAAGTGGGTCTAGTTCCATAATAGACTACTAGGCAGACAGAAGGGGGTCGCTGTATATCGTAATTGAAAAATTCCATATCATCAGTTTATGCACAGTAAAATTACAAGAATACATATTTGGTTAAAGGGTTAACCAAAAACGCTTAACCCCTAAATAACTCATGGCGATAACTTTCTCTGAGTGCTATTCAACAAAGAACAGCCTCAAAATACTTGGTTATATTAATATTAATGAGTAACATCATTTAGAACATTTTGGAAGATACATTTTGGAACTTTGATACATTTGTAGAATTTCTTTCATAAATACTTGTGGTTCTTCAAATATTTCTATTAACTAAATTAAAATTTAACAAATGACGAGTAGTTCTTTAGTAGATACTCTTTAAATAGAACTTCTTTTGTTCAACTAACTTAACTAGTTATTTTTTTTTTTTACTAACCATTAACAGAAAGTCCTCACAGCGCTGCTACAAATGGTGGATATTCACGTAAGCATGATGGTGGATGTTACAGTATTTGAAATTTATTCACAGAACTTTTATAATGAACCGGAGAAGAATTTTGCATTATTTGGAGAATTTTCTGAACTGAAGATTACATTTTCAACATAATTTTTTAATGACTGCTCCCAATTCAAATATCTGAAACCTTTGATGAAATGGATATCAGAAGAGCGTTGAGAATAATTTGTAATGTTTTCTTTTTTGTAAAAGTAAAGATCTTGCGGTTTGCGACTTACTGAGAAAATATGGTGAATTTTGTCTGGGTACAAAGCAATAACTTATTCTCTATAATTGATAGTATTAAAAGTTTGATTCATAAAATTTATGTTTTAAAATATTTTTTACATTTATATTGTTGATTTATTTATGAACTTATTTAGTTTATATTATATATATATATATTACGAGCTGATTTAAAATACATTTTTGATATTACATGTATATATAGATCCCTGTTTATTGGCCATTAACCCTTTCTCCGGTCCTTATTTTTCTTCCAATTTGATGTAATGTTTAAAGTAATATATATTTCATATTATATGAATCCCTGTTTATTTTCTATTTTAATACCGGTATACATTAAACCTTGGTTCTTCCAAAAGGTAAATTAATGTTTAAAGTAATAATTATTTTATACCTACAGTATTTTTCAATCCTAAGCATTATCCCTGGTTATATATTTAGAACACTATTATGGATGTTGTAATTTTATCTAGTAATTGTTGTTATTTACATAATGTAGATGCTGTCAAGTTTTCACTGTGATATATATATTCTTACATTTAATGTATATATAATTCATATTTATCTTGATTATGCATAATAAATTATCAAAAATACATTAATTAAACATGTTCAATTGTTTTGGGTTTTTTTGTCTGAGTATCAGTCAGTTACCTATATAACAGAAGAAAGTATACAACTTAAACAAAATTGTGTGCAAATGAAGGCATTATGTGGCCCTTTTGCAATATGAGGCACACATGATTCTTTATGCCCATAGTTTAATATGGGTCTGAGAATGAACCCTGAGACTAACCAGGTAGCCTACTATTTACTTGATTGGTCAGTCTGCAAAGACTTTACCCTAGATTCAAACACAATGTACTAACATGGAAACTATTTGCCCATTATTCTAAGAATTAGCTGGGAGACGAGGGATTCTTTCGTGACTTATGATGGGTACCAAAAACTATGACAAAATTTGGATTACTATAGACATTTGACGTCTTGCAGAGCAATTACAATAATCTCTTAAAGCAAAATAGTATTTATAGCTATACCTTGCCCACCCGAATTAAAACAATTCCACTCAGAACAGTGCCGTTCCCAGCGAGAATGGGTCGATTCGGCACAGAATTTACAGACACTTGAAACTTGAAGATTTTAAACGGAAGGTTGCTTAATTATAATATTTGATCATCAGGTCTCTTCAATTATTTGTTATAGTCTAGGACATAGTAATCAAATGTTAGTAAAATAAAACAATCGTGAGCTGTAATACTATATAGGGGTTATTTTAGTTCTATGAAACGTGCGCTGTTTAATATATTGACGTAGTTTAATAAATTTGGTGACGACGAGAATTCGGCTAAGTAGCCTAGCTATGTATTTTGCAAGATTCTGAGACCAACTCACAGATCGTCCCTGCCATCATCAATTGCTGAAAGTAGGGTACTATCGTCCAGACATCTCGTGCACCGATTATTCCAATTAAGTAGAATAATCTTGACGTAACCCCATAAACATTGCCACATGGGGACCATATGGGTTGTGGGGCCAGATGATACAAGGTCCCCATATTATCTTACCACATACAAATGTACGCAAATACACTTTATTTTCATATATATATTAATATCACAGAGACAAGCCAAATGATAAAATGGTTACTTCTTTTTTACACTGCATGATATTCTGTCCGTATAGTGTGTGTATCTGGGGCCAATGTGGGATTTCTCACATTAACAACTATGTTTTTGTACACTTGGGGCCAATATGGGATTACCCGTGTGTGTATCTGGGGATAATATGGTATCTGTATGGGATTACATATAACTTTTGCATATCTGGGGCCAACATGGTATCTATATGGGATTACTTATTAGTCTATGTATGAGTTCATTATTGAATCCATACTTTTAGTTGTGTATATATTAATATCACAGAGATAAGCCAAATGATATAATGGTTACTTCTTTTTTACATTGATAATCTGACCGTATAGTGTGTGTATCTGGGACCAATGCAATATGGGATCTATATGGGATTTCCCTCATTAACAACTCTGTTTTGTATACATGGGGCCAATATGGTGTCCATATGGGATTACCCGTGTGTGTATCTGGGGATAATACGGTATCTGTATGGGATTACATATAACTTTTGCATATCTGGGGCCAACATGGTATATATATGGGATTACTTATTAGTCTATGTATGAGTTCATTATTGAATCCATACTTTTAGTTGTGTATATATTAATATCACAGAGACAAGCCAAATGATATAATGGTTACTTCTTTTTTACATTGATAATCTGACCGTATAGTGTGTGTATCTGGGGCCAATGCAATATGGGATCTATATGGGATTTCCCACATTAACAACTCTGTTTTGTATACATGGGGCCAATACCGTCACTTGTCTCCCTGTCATTTTTGATTGTCGTGGTTGCTGATGCGGTACAGTGGGTCAAATTTCAGAGGGACACACTGAGCACAAGCATTTCTAGTTCAGCTAAAAATCGTCTGTCCATTTTAGACAGAATCAGGGTTTGTTTTTTTAAAGCAATATTGGTCTAAGGTTACGAATCCTTCCTGACTTACAAGTCATAGATTTTTTTTTTCTCTCCAGTTTAAGAATTCTGTATTCAATGTTAAGCAGTTTGTTGAAATATTCAGATGCGTATCTGTGTATCTGGGGCCAATGTGGGATTTCCCACATTAACAACTATGTTTTTGTACACTTGGGGCCAATATGGTGTCCATATGGGATTACCCGTGTGTGTATCTGGGGATAATATGGTATCTGTATGGGATTACATATAACTTTTGCATATCTGGGGCCAACATGGTATCTATATGGGATTACTTATTAGTCTATGTATGAGTTCATTATTGAATCCATACTTTTAGTTGTGTATATATTAATATCACAGAGATAAGCCAAATGATATAATGGTTACTTCTTTTTTACATTGATAATCTGACCGTATAGTGTGTGTATCTGGGACCAATGCAATATGGGATCTATATGGGATTTCCCACATTAACAACTCTGTTTTGTATACATGGGGCCAATATGGTGTCCATATGGGATTACCCGTGTGTGTATCTGGGGATAATACGGTATCTGTATGGGATTACATATAACTTTTGCATATCTGGGGCCAACATGGTATATATATGGGATTACTTATTAGTCTATGTATGAGTTCATTATTGAATCCATACTTTTAGTTGTGTATATATTAATATCACAGAGACAAGCCAAATGATATAATGGTTACTTCTTTTTTACATCGATAATCTGACCGTATAGTGTTTGTATCTGGGGCCAATGCAATATGGGATCTATATGGGATTTCCCACATTAACAACTCTGTTTTGTATACATGGGGCCAATACCGTCACTTGTCTCCCTGTCATTTTTGATTGTCGTGGTTGCTGATGCGGTACAGTGGGTCAAATTTCAGAGGGACACACTGAGCACAAGCATTTCTAGTTCAGCTAAAAATCGTCTGTCCATTTTAGACAGAATCAGGGTTTGTTTTTTTAAAGCAATATTGGTCTAAGGTTACGAATCCTTCCTGACTTACAAGTCATAGATTTTTTTTTTCTCTCCAGTTTAAGAATTCTGTATTCAATGTTAAGCAGTTTGTTGAAATATTCAGATGCGTATCTGTGTTCCAGTCTTAAAACAAAAATGTTTTTACAGTTCTTATGAGTTTCAATATGTTTATCTATACATTTACTTGATGGTCAACTGTGTCCCATAGTGTGACCAAGTGTACCCCACATATGGGGCATAATGGGTCAAAAACTTTTTCGGTATTGCAATATCTACACAGAAATGGTTTCAATTTATTAACTCCGTAACAACACTGTTAAATTGAACATGTGACTGGCTGCAACTGAGTACACAGTTTGATTCTCTGTAGGATTTCACTTCTGGTCAATTCACTAAAAAAAAGAAATCATGCCACTGCATGTTGCCCGCTCTCCCCTACACTTCGTATTTATGAATTTCGTTTGGACGGGCTGCTTTGGTTTTCACTAGTCGGACGACAACACTTGATCTTGCAGATGATACTTTGATTTGTACATTGGCCAAACCAAATTGCACAATTTGTGAAGAAATCAAATAGCCTGACTGTGTACGTGTTGACTTGTTTATTATCAGTTGAAGAGGATTATTATAAGGATGGGTTTCTCTTTGTCCCTTCTTTATCTAATCATTGTTTAATGTCACATCAACTTATTTCAGATTTCGTAATTTGAAGATTGCCAGGCGATCCCTTATTTTATAAAGTGCTGATTGCAGACTGATCAGTATTTAGTGTAAATGTAGTTGATCCATGCAGGGGCGGATCCAGTAAAAATGGCGTACTGGTGTTGTGCATTGTCAATATACTAGTTCTTAGTGAGGCGGCGAATTAAGCCATCCCTTGCTTGGTCCATGCGCAAATACGCCCGCGCAAGGACCAAGCAGGCGATGACAGCCAGGCGTTCCTAGTCAAAAGTGTTGCCATAGTTATATTCAATGATATCGGTTAGTGTAACTTTACCTGCAATTTCCCAAATACATGTAGTATGCCATTTGCTAATACCATGTACCCCAAAAGACAAAAACGGCAGCTTTTAAGACGTTTAGGTTTGATACAAACTAAGCATGACGTTATTGTTATAAACGATAATGATTACTTTATTCTCACCATAATTAATGATTTTATAATGTCAAAAACATACCACTTTACAAAGAAGAATTCAAAATATGTTAATGTTCCAGTGCAATCGATAAAAAGTTCTGCCAATATCATATATCTGACACGTATCTGGCGGAATAGGGCGAATGGTATTCCTGTGATGCCACTATCTTTCCATTTGGTGTCCTGCATCTTTATTATCCAGAAACTTGGCAAACCCCTTCCTGCAAAAATTCCTGGATCTCTGCCATGGATCAATAGAAATATCGGGATTTAGGGTCTTACGTAGTCTTGTTCCTCATGCAAAATCAGCGGCCACTACGCCCCTACATACAAGGGTTCCACAAATAATTGCAAAAATCTCTCTGTGCGGTAAACATTGACAATATTTTTAAATTTCCAAATCCATAAATTTGTAAACAGTTATATTATTCAGATGGTGCTTTATAAAAAGACTTATAGCAAACAAAATTATCTTGCCGATCGACATTCATCAGGGGCGGATCTCGGAATTTTGAAAAGGGGGGGGGGGCGTCGCAAAATGAGGGCACTGACCGCGGAGAAAATTATCCGTCATTTCCTTACATCTGTAGCCATTCCAAGAGCTATTTGGCTGATATTTTCGTCTAAGTAAACGTTCGGAAATCGTTGAAAAAGAGCCTTAAAATCGAGCAAAAAAGCCAGTTGAACATGCCACTCGAAAATCGTCAAGGCGAGCGAGGCATTATGATGGGAAAAATGACGAATCTATTCCCTAGCCACTTCACTATTTAAGCCTTGTACTTTGTACTGTCCACACATGAAGTTGCACACATGCGCGTCGGTGATGGGCACGAGTGTACACGCCGCCGATTCCACAAGATGTCTGCCTATAGTCACTTTATAGGATTAGGGCACCGTCAGCTAAACAACAAGAATTCGTTTAAAAGTGGAAGCCCCCCCCCCCTTGATTTCCGCCTCTGTTCATACCCTAAAATAACCTTTAATGTATTCATGCGTTTGGTAGGCGAACATGCCATCGTAGAAGACTGTTCATTGTGACTATTTTCAGAACATCTATTTTGACCTGCAAGTAATAGCCTTTGTCACGTACGACTGGACTTTAGTTATTAAATAATGTTTGAGAAAAATATAAAAAAAAAAAAAATAATAATAATATTTGCCAATAATTTATAACGTAAACTGAGCAATTGTTGTATCTATACTGTTAAGCGTTTATTTTTGTACAGAATAATTGGAAAGAGACTATCATTTCAACCGATAAAAATTAACACAACCATAAAAAAAATTAAAATTAACTATTATCAAGCGGTTTGCCTTGAAATCTTAAACCGACGTGTCGTAAGACATGCATACCCCATTAATGATATTCCATTGCTAAAATCAATATTGAAATAATATTGTACCACATGTTAGTCCCGAAATGTCTTAGTGTGTATTAAATTAAGGTTGAATTCCATTTCTCTTTCTCTCACGATATTCTCATATCTGCATGTACATGTATAGTGTCACAACAGATTTTATTTATTTATTTATTTTATAATTATATTTTATCACCAAGTCCCTTTATTTCCCTATCATGGCAGCAGCGGGCGGATACATCAATTCGACAACTCTGGAGTAACCATGGAAGAACTTAAAATAATGGCAAGACAACTATTATCATAGAAATATATAAATAGTCTATTTATATATTTCTATGACTATTATATCAGATGACGTCAGAATATTACAGTTGCGTCACAGAGTTTATAACGTTTAACGAACATAGAGATTAACAATTCAAAGTTGAAGCTATGTCGATATAATTTCGTACAAAGCTGAAGTTGGGTTCCTCATCAGAGATGCAGATTTACAATATACTTTCTGAGGCTAACCATAGTGTAAAAGAGTGCCACGGATAAATTCTATCTATCATCCCATGCAGTATAACAAAGGAAATATGACAAAAGTCTGGCAGAGAAACAGAAAATACCTTGACATATGACTCTTACAAATCCCAGGTTAACAGACTATGCATATGAGTCGCGTATTAGCTTTGACAACTCATTCTATTAAGGATGTAAACAAAAACAGTCACCTATCTATTATAAGTTATAGTCTAGGAGATAATATTCAAATATATCACTTAATCTAGATATAACACAGTATGATCACAAGTAATCTTGGTTTTAATCCCTTCAAGTGGCGGTATGGCAAACTACATAGAAATCTAAACCTGATTCGAAGCCGTGGTGGCTCAGTAGGGCACTGACTCGCTAAAATATATCTTTTGTATTATATTAATTCTACGAAGGGATGGATGTTAGAAAGGCTATAAGCCAAATCTTCAACTGTTCAATTATAGCCTATCAAGTATAAATTAGGTCAACCAGATATTATAAACAGACCGCAATAATGTACGATAATTTTATCATTTACAGTACTGTCTCTTTAAAGAATTCACCAAGAAAACTACAACTAAAAGTGTTTAAGATACACTATTCAATTATACTCGGGTCAAGATGAATTATCACATGACTATTTCTCAATAACCTTTTACCCACGCACATAAATAGAGATACAACTATTGAAGTCAGCACATTGTCACAACAGTTTGTACTATCTGGAGTGAGCCAGAGTGCAGTAATATAGAGATGGCCAACATGTCGGTAGTGATTTTACTAATTGTATTTGTGGTTTCTACGTTAGCGTCTCCTCTGTTATTTAATCGTCTTGATAAACATCAATATACAGGTAATAATTCTTTTGTTCATTATCTGCTTTAACGGCGTCAGCATTTACACTACAGTCTGTGTGTGGCACCTCGGTGGCTCAGTGAGTAAGACGTTGGCGTAGACCCGTCTTCATAAGCCCAGTGGAGCAACACGATGAGACGTTAAATCTTATTTCTTTTCTGCGTGTCCGTGTGTGTGTTGGGGGGGGGGGGGGCTCATGGGTGTTGGCAGAGAAGTTCCTCTGGATATTTCAGTGTGGTTTCCCCTTGTCGGTGGTACAGAGCGCAGTACCTGGCAAGAAGCAGCGTCTATTTGTTCGGATGGGACGAAAAACGGAGGTCCCGCATGCACAAAAAGAACCCTTGACAGTTGGAATTCGAGAAAGAGAAGGTGAACAGAGACTCAATGACAGACCTTATGATTTACTTGTTAAACTGGTGTTCCATTGGCAAATAATTTGTTTTGGGTGTTTGTTTTTAGATTGTCAAAAGATTAATGATGCAGGATATAAGAAGACAGGCCAATATTTATTATGGTACGCAAAAACCAACGATACCAACCTTCATCCATTTACAGTAAGTATATAGATTTGGTTAAAGAAAGTTGACACCGGAGAAAGGTCGTGTCTTGGGCCCCGTTTCACAAAATTCCTAAAGCAATGCTAACGAGCTGCTACAGAGAGTACTTTCATTGGTATACTGAGTTCATTTGTCGACTAATCTAAATAGTCGATACATTGTCTATAGGGTTTTTGTCGGTTAGTAAATATATGATTTAGATTGTATTCAAAATCTTAGACAAATCTGTCGATTTATCGATGAGATTATAAATGTTTCAACTACATGTACCAATATGCGAGTCGTCTAAATGTTTTAGTGGTTTTCTAGTAATTTAGACTAACATAATTTGCTTCAGCTAAGGGTATTGTGCAGTGTGTGTGTGTGTGGGGGGGGGGGCGTAGGACCCACAGAAAAGGTTAGGCAGGCGACACTGCTCCTTGTCACGTGTGGGATCGAAAACACGGCACTTGACACAATGACAGATCTTATATTTTAAACCATTCGGTCACCTAACACCCGATAATGCTGAAAATCATCGCTTCAGTAGTAGGTAAACAATGAAATGAAATGGGGTTTAATGCTCTGACTGAGCTAATGAAGGTAGGTATAACATCCAATACGTAAGATTATGCTGACTGATATTTTGTGTGCTTTATTCAGAAGATGTCTTTATTTTTGTGAAAGGAGCCAAGGTGGCTCAGTGAGCATAGCTCGCAAACGTGGAGTTTCTATGTTCAATCGAGGCGTGGTTCCCCCTTGTCAGTGGTGCAGGACAGGGCGTCTGGCAAGGGACAATGTATAGTCGTTCGGATGGTACGAAAAACCGAGGTCCCGTGTACACATTGGCGTGTACGTAAAACATTGGCGTGCACATAAAAGAATCCTTGACAGAGTAAGAGTGGGCCATAGCTCCACTGTCCGGGCAAAATTTTCCTCATTTCACACTGTAAATATGCCCGTCTTCATTATCCGAGTCGGGGCAGAACAGGATGACGTTAAACCCCATTTCATTTCACCCTACCCTTTTTTGTAAACTAAAGACGCAAGTACAGGGAAAGATCCTCCAATTTTATAATTTTCCTGTTTGGTTTTTCCTCATGTAAAGCCGCATTAGGCTAAGAAGATATAATGTAATGTATACTCTAAGATAATAATACATTTATTTAATTCAAAGGTCGAGTGTCAAATGAAAGGTGATGCTGCTTACACGGTCATACAGAGGCGAATGTATGGAAATGAAAACTTTTACCGTACTTTCAGTGATTATGTAAATGGTTTTGGTCACCCACAAGGAGATTACTGGGCTGGGCTCAATCTCATATATCATCTGACATCAACTGGTAATAATGTTCTAACTGTACAGATGCAGGACTGGAGTGGAAATAATAAAAATGCTAGATACTCATATTTTAGATTGATTGATAATATCCATTTTGTCTTAAATGTTGGTGGATTTTATTCAACTGATGTCGCCGATGACTTGTCGTTCAATAATGGTTATGCATTTGCTACATATGACAAGCCTGATGTCAATCATTGTGCCATTAATCAAAAAGGTGGATGGTGGTACAATTACTGTACCTATGCCCTTCCTAATGGCGTGTATTATCCTGGAGGCCCTTACACGCCATCTAGTGGATATTACGATGGTATTTATTGGAAAGATTGGTTAGGATATGGTTATTCTTTAAAATTTATCAGTTTGTCTTTATCTAATCAATAAAAATTGTCCAAAACATTTCACAAATTTAATTTTATTCATCTTTAATGTTACACAAATCATGTACTGTTTTTATGTATGAAACTTATTTTTTATATGATCAATTGATTGAAAGATAACAGAGTTTACAAAGCAGCACGATTTCATTTATTCGCCTTATAGATTTAATTTTCATGATTATAAAAATAATTTTATTTACTAGTTGATTTGTATGGAAGCCTATAACTACCATTCATAATTTCTACTGTTCGCCCCTTCAGAAGGCGAAAGTCGAAAAGTAGAAGTTACGACAAAATGGTAGGCGACAGCACGCTAGGCAAGTCATAATCGATTCGAAAATAGGAAATTAAGAAATAGTACACAGCGATAATAGCGCCCCTCGTTTTTTCCTAATTTCTAATTTTCGACTTGCATTTTGGCTTGTATACCGTCTTGTCGACTTTCGAAAACTGAACGGAAAAGAACAAACGTTGGAAGTATGTAGCGGGGATGTTAAATGGATGTTCATCGGAAGCCTAGCGGATGAAAGCGGACGGAAGTGGATGACAGCTCCGGCAAACTCCAGACATCCTTCAATATACTAGATACATCCTACATACAAACGCTTTGTCCGTTTTGAAAACTTTATATACGAGATGCATACGCTTACATCCTTTCTGTTTACGTGCTACTAACGATGTACAGACGTTCCATGTACCTTATCTTTCCTCCCTATTTCCGTTTTCAGCTGGAGCGGATGTCAGTTGCGAGGATGCAGAGAGGATACAGTGGACGTTTAAAGGATGATAACGGACATGGAACGTTTGGTGCTCGTATATGTCGCGCATTTACATCGTACTTGGCAGAAAGTTCATCCGTTATAAAAGTTTTGTGCAGCTCAAAACTTATTTGCGCGGATGAAATCAAAATGAACGGATGCTCGATGGATAGAGCGTATGAAACACGTATGCAATGAGTACACAACGGATGCATGGCGTTTTCAAACGGAGGGCACGTTTTTTCTCCGTTTTACATCCTCTTTGCATCCGTAAGTGCAGTGGGACCGGGCCTTAATGTATTTTGTGGAGAGGGAGAGAGAGAGAGAGGCGGGGGTAACGTCCACTCGACACAAACTAAGTGTTATTCAGAGACTATGGTGCAATTTTATTTTAAAAATTGGCGATGAGAGAGAGAAAGAGAAATGAAGTGAAATGTAATTGGGGTTTAACGTCCTACTGTTCTGCTCCGCACTGGGTTAATGAAGACGGGCATACGCTATACAGTGTTCTATAAGGGAAATTTTGTCCGGACAGCGGCAATACGGCCAACTATTAAAGCGAATCACAACTGTCAAGGGATCTTTTACGTGCACGCCAATGCGTACAAGGGTTTTCGTCCCATACGAACAACTAGACAGTTGTCCTTGTCGAAACCACACAACTTGAATCAATGACAGACCTTGTGATTTCACGCGAACGTGTTAAACCACTAAACCACCCAACACCCATGTAAGACGGATTTTGTAAGTTGTTGTATATTGTATATACCGGTACGGGAAATTTGTTTTATAATAGGCCTACATAATAAATTAAATTGTTGTTGCCTAAGGTGTTTTTTTTTTTATCAGATATTTTTGGCAGATAAAATATTCCAGTTGGCGGGAAAAAAAAATATAAACAATTTTTTTATATAAAAATTATTATCCATTTTGACGGAAAAAAGTGAAAGACAGTGTGAGCCCTGATTGCACGTATTCAAATGCGACCTGGAAAATTGAGACTACAACAACTTCCGAGGCGAAAGTCGAAAAGTCGATAGTACGACAGCAAGCCAAAATGATAGGTCGCTAATAGCGAGGCGAAACTCGAAAAGTCGCCAAAACGACAGCAAGCCAAAATGATAGGTCGCTAATAGCGCTTGTGTTTATTTTCTTTTTTCTACTTTTCGAGTTGCATTTTGGCTTGGTATGCGTGTTGGCGCCTTCTTACTGACATCAATAAATACAAGACGGTATACAAGCCAAAATGCAAGTCGAAAATTAGAAATTAAGAAAAAACGAGGGGCGCTATTATCGCGGTGTGATATTTCTTAATTTCCTATTTTCGAGTTGATTTTGGCTTGTATAGCGTGCTGTCGCCTCCCATTTTGTCGTTACTTCTACTTTTCGACTTTCGCCTTCTGAAGGGGCGAAAATAGAAATTATGAATGGTAGTTATAGGCTTCCATAGATTTGTCTATGCGTTATAAATGATATACAAAGATAGTTGCCATCATAAATGCTGACATTTCTGAAATATGATGCACATAATACACTAGCGGCAATTCTTCTGTATGTTGAAAGGTGGTATTTTCAAAATGGATGATATATTCTGCCATACCCTTTCGTCCATCAAAGGTTTTCTGAAATACACCTTATCACATATAAGAGAAATATTATCAAGGCTCGGGCGGTTTTGTTTAGACGACTAACATCGGATGTGTTCTCCATAAGACTTAAGAAAAATGACCAGTCTACGACTTCGTCTTTTGAAACAGCTGCCTTTTAATTGCCTGTTTACAGTACATGGGCAAGAACACGACACAAAATGATTAAACTTCTCGGATGTTAATTAAAATTGATTCCGGTAAAATAGAAAATACGAAATATAACACAAAGGAAAAACATCTGATTTTAATCAATTATTGCTCTACACTTCACTTGTCTACAACCTCGATATTCACTGTGGTACGGGTAATCTGGTATGTTGACATCTAAAGTCTAGCTGTTTTATCAATTGTAAATCATGATATAGAACAACGATATATTCAGATTAAAGTCTATGAAGAAAGAATATGTGTTACGACTCCAAATATTTACTATACATAGAAGGTATACCATAAAAGCTTATTAGAATTATAAAAAGCTCTCAAAAGAAGTTGTCTCCCCTTGACTGCCTTTGGTTTTTAACATAAAATGTCTCATAATTTAATGCCATCCTTTGCTTGATTAAATGAAGCGATTCGTTTATTTTACACATTTTTTGCAATTTCCTTGATACGGAACATTGGTCAATAGAGTTTCATTAGGGGAAATTTATAGCAGCTTTTAAATACATTGATGCTCTGATATCGGAAAATTTCGTAAAACACATGTAGCCTACATATCTGACATATTTCCTCTTTTTATATAAAATGAAAGGAAATGGGGTTTGGCATCCTACTGTTCTGTGCCAACTGGACCAGTGAAGACAGCCATACGTCATACAGTGTGCTATGAGGGAAATATTGTCCAGACAGCGGCGCTATGGCCTACTCTTATTGCGAATTCCAACTGTCACGGGTTCTTTTACGTGCACATTAATCAGTGCCGGATTAACCGATAGGTCAATAAGGCACGTGCCTTAGGACCAGCCAAAAATCCAGGCCACAAAAAAAAAATAAAGTAAAAAAAAGGTTGTAATCCAGCTACTGTAATTTTATAGAAATTATAGTACTGTCAAAAAAATGGTTCTGAATTCTTTTGTAATAAATTTTCTGTTGTTAAATTTAACTTTCTTCCTTTATCGGTGAACCCAAAATATCTGTATTTTCAGACCACCTATCAAAACGTGCCTTAGGCACAGCAGAGCCTTCATCCGACAAACCTCGGTTTTTCGTACCACCCGAACGAGACACTGTTCATTGTCAGACCCTCCATCCTGTACCAAAGCCATCGGGAAACACAAGGAGTGAAACTTGACCTCGTTAGCGAGCCAATCTCTCCATCCTGTACCAAAGCTATTGGAAAACCACGACGGAAAATTACGAGGAATTTCTCGGCAAACACAGGGAGCGAAACATGACCCCCTGGTTAGCGAGCCAGCTTCTTACGCACCGATCGAACCACCGGGGCTCATCCTTTTTATATGATTCAGATATCAAATAAATGAAGTTTGAGGGAAAATTAAAAAAAAAACGAAAAATGAAAGCCCGATGAGAGCACAACATCGTTTATATTTTAATAAAAAATTTTATTCTCTCATCTAAATGTGTTCGTTGGGATGGGACGAAAAATCGAGGTCCCGCGTACACATTGGCGCGCATGTAAAAGATCCCTTGTCAGTTGGAATTCGATATAAGAGTAGCGCAAAAGTACATCGTGGTTGACCAATTGTATCTAAGTAGCAAAATAATGTGTACCTGATCAGACATACTAACTGTGCAGCAATAATATTTTCAGTGAGCTGATAGTGAAAAAAAACGTCAGTCAGTCGAGCGTGTAGTAGGTAATTGGTAGTTGAAATATTGCTAGCCGGATGTGGACACTGTGCTTGACAAGGCATATACGCCCAAATCAGTCGACATGTTTGTTCTACAAATTGAAAACAAGTATGGCGATTGTTTAGGGCGTTAACTTTTTTTTATTATTGAACTATTTCTGTAGTTTTCTAATCGGAGTTCCGCTTTAAAAATATGTTTTCAGGTTGCGTTGTATCTAATTACAGTGGTTAATACCGGATCATTTTCCAACCTAATTATAATGGAAATTTAGCACCAATTAAGGTTCATAGAGGTTTAGTTTTGCAACAGTGAGACGCTTTTAAGCGTCTATAACTCGATCTTAGTTAAAGTGGCACTATGTAAGATTTATATAAATAGCTGACCTTTCTTGATATAATAGTTTAAAAATAGATAATGAAAAAAAAAAGAATATAAACTAAAGTTTTTTTATTCAACATACATGAACAATTATTACATAAAATCTATAAAATAGAACAAAACATTATACTGACCTTCATAACATATTCTATGTGTTATTCTCATGTACAGCACGGATATTCCTTTACGGTAAAATTTCATTCCTAAATTTTCTTTATGAAGTCTTTCTTCCCCAGCATAATCGAAGTCGAAAGCTTTACCGTGCTTATAAACTGTCTATGTTTACATGTACGTAAAATGAGATTTCCCAGAATTTCCGTAAGAAAAACCCGTATATCATGTTTTCTTATGGAAAATAAAAAAACTACCTTGGGGAAATAACCCGTTACAGGTTTAAAGAAAAACTTTCAGAAGAATAACCCCAAAATCGCCTGTATGTATT